CATCCTTTGTGTGGCTCTGAGGGGGGGAGCTGTGCTCTGGGGTTTGAGAAGGGCTGGCTGCCACAGCTGCACCCCTTCCACCCAAGACTCCACCCCTTCTAGGGGCATGGAACTGGGCTCCCCCCCCCCACCTTGCCCAAGGGCTCACAGAGGCTGTTGGAGCCTCTGGTAGATGCCATGTTTGGCACAGCAGCATACCCCCATCCCACCCCATTCAAAAGCCCAGTCTCTGTACATGCCTATCAAACAAATGATTTTTACAGTTCATGGTTCGTACAAGTACCATAACTAAGTGTTGGTTTCCTAGAATTTGAAACATGAATGTGACCCATGATGAAGATGATTTCCTATATCATTTGATGGCTGAGGTAGAAAAACAGTCATAACTTTTACTGTGCTTTGTTAAAAGGCAAATATTAGGTAATAAAAAGTTATCGGGCAGATCCTCATTCAATGGAGGTAACGTGAGTTTCTACCAGCGGAGAGTCTGACACCTATTTGCAGAGAAAAGCAGCAGATTACTGTGTGCTGGATATCGATGTCCAGAAATGACAATGAGGATTAAGAGCCATCATTATGGCTTTTACTGTTGCACAGCACTGTGTTTTATTGCCAAGGGCATTGCCGGGCTTTGTAAAGCTGCAGGCATTCTCCTGACATCTGCTACAAGGCTTTCATTAGGCATTTTTCCACTTCCCAGAATTATGCGGCTTTAGGGGCAAAAAGTCATAAAAACAGGAAATTAAGCCTAAAAACATGCATAATTAGAAAGGATCACAGGACAGCAGGCCTGTTTTAGATTTACATTTTTTCAAAAATAGGACCAGTTTTAGATTTTTGACAAAATGCAAAATTGCTCACATGGGAAACATTTCAAATGTAACTGCAAATATTTTTCCCACCACTAGATAAATGTATCAAAAGGCATCAGAAGTACAGATCACCTACCTTCAATGCACATTAAAGGCTAATAGAGAAGTACAAGCAGGAGTTAGAAGAAAGAGAAGAGAGAGAGAGAGAGAGAGAGAGAGAGATGCTTGCGCAGCATAAAATAAGTTACAGTTAGTTGTGGAAAACATCAGAGACAAGCAAGATTTCAGTGCTCAGGATTCAGAACCATAGCAATTGCTTTTCCTCTCTGAGCAGGGCTGTCCTTGGTCATATGCAGCTGCTTAGGGCACCCAAAAATCTTGGGCACCAAACTTCAAATACCCCTACGTAGCTGTGTGTGCTGTTGTGCTACCAGTGGCCCTGACCACCATCAGCTGGTCCCTCTCTGGCCCAGCCCTCTCCCCCAGCTGCCAGTAGCAGGGCTGCCTTAACCCTGCCCCCTTTCCTCACCCACATTCTCCTATAGGCCAGGAGGCCACTGAGCTGAGGTCTCCCTCTTGCCACACCTGGGTTGGAGAGGAGCTCTCAGCCTCTCTGGCTCCGCCCTGGCTCCCAGGAAGCCCTAACTCCTGGCAGGATCCACACAGAAAGGAGGGGGCCACAGAGGAAGCCCCAAACTATGGAAGGAGCCCCACAGGGAAGAGGGCACAAGGGAAGCCCTGAGCCCTGACAGAAGCCAAATGGGGGTGGGGAGGCCTCAGATAACTTGCATAGGGCTGCATACACTGTACAGAAAACCCTGTCTCAGAGGACACTTGCAAAACAAATAAAAATGAAGAGAACAAAATAGCAAGCACATCCTAGTGAAGTAATGAATGGCAACCTGTTTCAAGCAGAAGTTTGTGTTTTGCTGCCTGCCCGTATTTTGCTTAATTAATATAACGAATCCATCCCCATATTCCCATAGACACAATGGGGTTTTAACTGCTGATTATACAGTTTTGAAACTTGCATCAAAACAAGCATGGTCTAGCAGAATGAGCATTGGGTTTGGCAGCAAAGCTTCTGAGTTCTGTTCCTGGCTATACCACTGACTCCTATGTCTAAACTTGCCGGCTGTCTACACTGCACGAGTGTTGTTCTAGAAGTAAATTTACAGTAGAGCATTGTGAAACAGGGCTTCTTCTGGAAGGGATATTCCTCTGCCCAAGAGGAATAAGCCCTCTTGCACAAGAGCTCTTTCAGAAGAGGCCAGTGTAGACAGGCAACATAAATTCCTTGCGCAAGAAGCCCCTATGGTTAAAATGGCCATCGGAGCTTTCTTGCGCAAGAGAGTGTCTACACTGGCATGGATGCTCTTGTACAAAAGCACATCTCTTGCGCAAAAGCACATGGCAGTGTAGACGCGCTCTTGGGGAAGAGTTCTTGTGCAAGAAGCTGCCAGTGTAGATGTAGCCCCTCTGAAACCTCTTAACCTCGCTGCTTCCCAGGGGAGAGAGCCAGGGCAGCAGGACTGCCATGCCTCGGCCTCGCCCTCCCTTGTGGCTGGGGAGAGAGTCGGGGCTGCCTATCCCCAGAGAGAGGGGGGGAGTTGACAAGTGCAGCAAGCAGGGGGAACAACCTCTAGTAATACTTTATTGGCATTTAGATAAAATATCTAAATGCCAGTAATAATACTCAGATAGATGTGTATGAAATCATGCTTGTGTTACACTTACTTTATATAGAGATAAGCAAATTATAGCCCATGGACCGCAACCAGCACATCAGACCTCAAACCTGGCCCTTGAGCTCCCGCTAGGAAGTGGGACCAGAAGTTGGCTCCACTCCAGTACTCCTGCTGGGTAGCAGGGTTGGAAGCTTGCCTTGCCCTGCTCCATTCATGCAATGGGTCCTCACAGCTCCCAGAAGCAGAGCAGCTCTGCAGCTCCCAATGTCCGGGAACTGTGGACAGTAGGAGCCTGCAAATGGGGCAGTGCACAGAGCCCTGTGGTCCCACCTCCACGTGAGAGCGGGCGGAGGGATGGGCTACAGCTTCCAGGAGCCACTTTTAGCCCAGAGTCTGCACCCTTGAGCCCGCCCTGCACTCCAACCCCTTCCCACATCCCTGATCCCCTTCCCACCCTCCAGACCCTTTGATCCCAGATCAGTGCACCCTCCTGTACCCCAAACCAGTGCTCCCTGTAAGCTGTGCACTTATGTGGCTGCTCAGGAGAGATTCAGATGCTGCCCAGCTGATTAACAGAGCACTCACAGATTGTTTTTTTGTTTCTGCTGGTGATGCACATTCACACATGCCTCGGTGCACATACAAAATTATTCTGCACATGGATGAAAAAGATTAGAGGGAACATTGCCCCAAGCCCTTCATCCTTAGCCTCACTCTCAAGACTGCACCTCCAGCTGGAGCCTCACCCACCCGAGTGCTCCAACCTCCAGCCTGAGCCCTGATCGTCCTCCTATCCCCCGAACACCTCCTGTCCATCCCGTAACACCGGCCTGCACTCCAAGCCCTCATCCCCAGCCCAACCCCAGAACCTTACCCCAAGCCACAACCCTCACTTTCCCTTATGCCCTAGGGTATGTCTACACTTGCACCCTACTTCGAACGAGGGATGAAAATGCAGGCATTCAAAATAGTCAATGAAGCGGGGACTTAAATATTGCGCGCTTCATTAGCATGATCTCACCGGCGCGTTACTCCGATCAACAGCTGTTTCGAAAGTGAAAGTGCACGCCAGGATGCGTTAGTTTGAACCAAACCCCTTGGTTCGAACTAACGTTACCCCTCAAAAAAATGAGGAGTAACACATTAGTTCAAACCAAAGGGTTTGGTTTGAACTAACGCATCCCGGCATGCACTTTCACTTTCACTTTCAAATCAGCTGTTCAGTGGAGTAACGCACCGGCGAGATCATTTAAATCCCCGCTTCACTGACTATTTTGAATGCCTGCATTTTCATCCCTCGTTCGAACGAGGGTGCAAGTGTAGACATACCCCTACAGACCCTTTGGTCCCAGGCCAGTGCACCCTCCTGCACCCTTACCTCCTCATTTCTGGTTCCACCTCAGAGCGCACACCCCCAGCCAGAGCCCTCATCCCCTCGTGCAACCCAACCCCCAATTTTGTGAGCACTCATGGCCATCCATATAATTTCCATACCAAGATGG